GAGATTTGAGAACTCGTAGAGGTTTGAAATGAAGGCAACGAAAAAAACCAAGAGCACCAAAGACAACTAAGAGAACCATGGATTTAATACCATGTTATAGATCTTGTAGTGATTGTATACAAATCTTCTATTCAATTAAAGAAGATAAACAACACTACAAGAAATGTCATCAAGGCGAGAAAAAAGATTGGGGCTCTCAATTGCATATTTGAACCATTGTCGTAAAGAAAAAGAAATATCCCAATATATATTGTCTGACATTTGTTGAAAACTCCTCGCAATATCAAAAATTGCTTTGCTACCCTCAAAAAACTTTTAGATGCGAGTTGCAGTCCTTGTACTTCCGTTCATACAACAACTTTACAAATAACCACAATCAGTAAGTCATATATCATAAACCTTCCAACTTGGCCTAGAACAATATAAAGACAAACGAGAAAAGTAGTACTTTCGATTAAGACTGTGAAATACTATTACTTGTCTATTGATAAATGACTAATAAGACATCAAATGATAAGCCACTGATGCTTTGATGGATGGTTATCAGCTGATGAGACGCTAAGGCACTAATTTTTAAAGGATGGTCGACTGATAGGTATTGATGGGCCCTAGGAGGCTATTTACAGCCATGAATTGTGAATAATGGATAATGTCTAATGAAAACCTTATGTGTGTCTTTCATGACCGTAAATGATCCTCTTCGCACCAGTGAAAGAAGATAAAGTCAAAGTTCTAACCTTTTAGCATTCTGGTCAAGTTGGTATTCTTCTTCTCACATTGTATACGTACACCACTGGTTTCCCTAATACTAACTATGAATTATGTGTGTAGAAACCCCTACTTTTAATAAGAGTTAATATTGATAGTTTAATCATGCTTTTGTTATTTTAGTTTGTAACTCCTCTATCGGTACATTTTCGGTATATTCCATCCGTAATACCTTTCTCACCTTCCATGTAATTAACATACCGGTTTGTGGAACCACATAACAACAACGTAAATCTATTGTGCATTGTTCAGTTCATACTCTTGATTTGTTTAATTGCATAGTATCTTTTCACAATTATTGTTTGCTTTATATCATACACATCGGTTTTCGCATCTGTGTTATCACCTTCTGTTGCAGCAAATGAAGTACAACATTATTACTTTGTTTGTTCTTTTGTGTTGTGTGATATTAAATCCGAACCTAATATCTTGGATTTAGCACGGCACACTTGGCAGTTGCATGTTACTTCCTTCATCTCAAAATAAATGTCCCAAAAAAAAGCAAATTGTTGGGAGTTTGTAGTTATTATATTTTTTAATTGACAAACAAAATTTTACTCTTAATTATAGAAAATTTATCCATCTCATAATTAAGAGACGAACGAAAGATTAAATATTTTCTTTTTAAAAATAGATATTTATTTTGTAAGAAACTAAAATAATAATATAGAAAATTATTTTAGAACATGAGAATAATTAACACCATTTCCATAATTACTAAGTATTTATTTTTGATACCCAAAAAAGCAAGCTTCTATCCAAAATATGGGAAGGAGGCACAATCATGAGAAAAACATTGACTAATAAAACAAAAAATAACCAAGATAAATAAAATTGCACGAGAGAGAGAGAAAGCGATCATTATAGAGTTTGTTGCATTAAAATTGTGTTTATAGGATGTCACAAAAATTTATAAGCATCTTAATATACTGTTTTATAAGACTTGATCTATAAGATCAAAAAACAAAGTGTTCTATTAATAGATATTGTAATAAATTTATAGAACGTTTTTGAGTGTCGCAATAAGTTTTTTAGAATATTTTTATAAAAATACATCATATTAACTATTTTATAGTACATTATTCGAAAACGTCTTAAAAAAACAAATGTTCTATAAAAAGATGGATTTATAAGACACTTCTCAAAGTTGTCCTATAAAATATAGATAATACAACACTTTCTATTAAATATGTCCCAAAAAACTTGTTAATACGTCTAAAACCATACTATAAATGTATTACAATACCTATATATATATATATATATATATATATATATATTACAAACTAAGACATATAAAACGATCTATTATGATGCTGAGAAATTATTGATATAAACCCAACTTCATTATAATGGATTATGATTGTGGCGTGGGGACTTCAATTCACTTGACGACACATAGAAAAAAGAGAAAAAGAGAGAATTTTTTGAAAGGTGTCAAACAAAATTTTTGTTGTATGTATGTGTTGGTGTTGCTTGTATTAGCTGTAAATGCATCCAAAACTATCTCACGGGGGTATTTAATACACTCATCAAACCATTTGTCTCTCTCTCTCTCTCTCTCATTGTCTCCGTCATCTTTTGTCCACTCAGTCTCACGCGGCAAACACTTGGGTAATTTTAGTAAAATTCCCTTACTTGACTTATGCTCCTTAGGATCTAAGATTCTTGCAGCATGCCTAACGAATTCCAAATCATCTTCCTCCTCCCAAATTTTTATATTACATTACAACAAAATAGGGCTCATAGAACATCAAAATATGTTGGATGTCTTAATAGACTACTTTAGGTGACTTAGGTTTACACGTTCAAACTTTTCTAAGTAATGGAGAAGAGGATCGAAACATGCCACTGAAAGACTCTACTGAGACAAAGATGGGCTGTCAAGAACGTCAAGAACGTAGAGGAGGTAGGATGGACAGTTGGTCAGATGTAGTATGGATCGTACATGGACGGTAGTTGGAGTCGGCGGTGCATGTATGTATCGTATAAAGATGTTATAATAAGTTTATCTGGCGCTTTATGACATTAATGGAAAAAGTTTTTTAGAATAGTTTTAAAAGAAAGTATGATATTAGCTATTTTATAGGACACTGTTTAAAAAAAATGTCTGATATAGCAAGTGTTGTATAAAAATGTGTTTGTAGAAGTGTCTTGACTAATAGGGAACTTTGTTTCATAAGTGTATTGAAAAGCTTGTTAAGATGTCTAAAAACATCTAATAAACTTATTGCAACATCTTTAGATATGAATATAAATGTTTGTTTCTATAATTATTAGGACGCTTAAACACTTTGGCATCCTATAAACTCGATTTTATTGTTGTGGAAAAATCTAGATCGTTTAGTTGCTTGTGTGTTGAGAATAAATTTATAGTAATTCTCAACTTGAGAAATGATACTACCATTAATTATTGCATTGTACATTAAGTTCACAAACCATCATTGAGAATTGATCAACACTAACAGGTCTAAAAGATCATAAGAATAGGGGCGGACCTCTGAAGTCCCGAGCGGGTCTTGTATACACCCATTCAACTTGTGTTCGCAAGTATATTTTTTTTTTTGGTTATATGAAAGGTGCATCCCGTAAACTTTGAGAGATGCTCTGTAACCCACCTCAAATGTACACCCGCTTGGCTAAAATTCTGGGTGCATAAGAATCAGATATGGATATCATAAAATATTAAAACAACTAGAACATGTTTGATCGAATTGTATGCTAATAATCGTTATACTCTGTTGGAATCTGTCTTTAGCTCTAGAATTTCACTGCGTGTTCGTTCACCAAAAAGAAAGTAGTCTTATTGCCATTTAGGCTTCTATGCTCATCAAGCAAATGTTATGTAATTTCCTTTACCACATATGTCTTAGGTTACAGGGCCATTGTAAATTTAAGTTGTTTTGGAGCTTATTAGACTACAGTGATACTTTTGGGTCCCCATATTTAAGTTCTCGTATTGCCTACACAATGGGGTATTGTGTAACCCCACATTACAATATATATATATATATATATATATATGTGTGTGTGTGTGTGTGCGAGCGCGCACGCTTATGATTTCTGTTGTAATTACGTTTTCTTCCAACGAATATTCGTATTCATATATACAAGGACCAGTTCTGGTTTTGAAAATGCAGTTGAGATATATCTTATGAGCGATGGTACACTTGTATCGCTTATTTATCGCTATAAAATTCTTGGTTTTTTTTTGGCATTTTCCAACAACGCAATGGCAAGGAAGTTGTATTATTCATTTATAGTAGAATGTATTTTGAAATTTCAATGTTTATGGAAGTCTTAAATTAATGTAGCTATACCCAAGAAACAAAGGTTTTAGCAATGACCGGGCAAAAATTCCATTTATCGTTACAAATAGTTTATATCGATGACATGTTATTGCCATAGCTTATACCTGAAACATGTTGTCATTATAGATGTGTCATCGAAGCTTTCTTTTCTTGTAATTTATACAGGCCACCCCAAACCAATATGAATTCTATATATTTAATAAAAGCGAAATATATTCTGTCAAACAATTGGCTTATTTTTGTCACTGAAATTGTGAAGTACTAACTTTATCTTCTACTATTGGTCTTGTGAATGTTCTCTCAATGTATTTTTCTGTTGAAGTCAAAAGACTTCAATGTGAACTTGTCCAGAACTGTTTTACTGTTTATTTGTTAATAAGAATGCTAGAATCCAAGGAAATTGTGTGGCAGGATTAGGTTGCTCTCACAATATTGGAGCAGATATCGTCATATGGCAACATCTTTCTTTTAATGTTGTTAGTTTGTTAAAGACGAAACGAGCTAGTAAGTATATAAATAGCCTGAAGCAACTTTTTGCCGGCGTAAGTTTTCATTACCTGTATGAATTTATATGGTCATCAAGGGAGTTGGCATGGAGGACCGGACCCTATTGTTGCCGAAGGTAAACATGCATAACTTTTATTATACATTGATTCGAAGCTTGAAACAAGCTGGGCTTGCCCTACGTAGGTCCCGAAATCTTGGAGACCTAAAAGCACCATTTAAACATGTTTTTGAACACTTTCACTTTTTTTTGGCTATTTTTCAATTTTTGTGCAGACTTTTATGTTTGCCCAATCAACTCTTTTCAGACCCGTTTTATTTTGGGGCTCTAAATTTATATGCTGAATATGTATTATGTAATATGGATGGTGACAGGTTGAATACAGAGACTTCCATTTTTTCCATCCAAATTTTGAGGTTATGGTGAATTCAAATTTGAGTCTAAAGTTTGGTATTCGTTGAAATAACGTCCAGGAGAGATTGTTCCCTGGTATTCATAGAATCAACGAGTTTGATCTTAGTTTGATTTTTATACGCTGCATCAAACGATCACACAACTAGTCGAACCTAGACACTGCTAGATTGTGAGCATGATAGAGTTTCCGAAAATATGAGTCTGATTTTATGGTTTATTTTACTTACTAACTTCCATAGGACTCAGTCTCACTGTTATTCAAGGTAGATGGGTGCTTCTGTAATTGTACAAACATATTGTAATGCCATTGTCTTAGTCTAAAATTACGAGGGCGAGAAGCTTTTTTCGTACTCATCCAGAAACTGACAGATAGGCTTTGAGTCATCTACTTCCTCTTTATATCTCTCATTCTCTTCAGAAGACCTACAAATGAGACTCTCTGCTACCTCTTCCAAGATTAATCAATAATGGGTTCAATAGAGGAAAAAAGGGCAGCTTTATATCAGAAGCTCAAACAACTTCGTTCACTTTCCCATTCCAGTGCTGTAAACTTCTTACTTTCTATATACGTTCGCTAACTTCTCTAAATTTATTTGTAATCCCGTTCTTAACTCGGACACGTGACCACAAAATGGGACTCAAAGCAGACACAGATCCATTTATGTGTTCTTTTTCTTGCTTTTATCTTTATGTGGATCACTTTTGAATGCATGTCTTGTATGTGTAACATTTTTTCTACATGTTTTGAAAACATAGTTTCGCTCTACTGCTTCTGTTCGTGTATCACAGCATCCTTGACCAAAAAAAACTAAGATTTTATGCCGAATTTGATTAGAATAACACTTTTCTTTATTATGAGTTTCAGGTACATAAAACATCAATTATCGTAGATGCAGCCAAGTATATTGAAGAATTGAAGGAGAAAGTGGAAAGACTTCATGAAGATGCCGCAAGCTCAAGAGAACATACCTCGTTACCTATGGTAACTTTTAGTTTCTATTTTTGAAATTTTAAAAAATGATCAAGATTTACATCAAAACAAAATCGAGTTTATAGAACACCAAAAGTGTTTAACTATCCTAGTAGACTATTTTATCAGATTTAAGTTTATAAAACCATATTTCAACGTTACATTATTGTTTCTCATAATGATTTGTAGCAAGTCACAGTCGAAACCCTAGACAAGGGATTTCGAATCAACGTCTTCTCAGAGAAGGACTGCCCTGGTCTACTTGTCTCCATACTTGAAGCCTTTGAAGAGCTCGGACTTGACTTACGTGATGCAAATGTCTCTTGTTCGGATAAGTTCCATCTCGAAGCAATAGGCGAAGTAAGAAATTACGTTATATGCTTGATTCATGGTGTTACAGTATTCGGTTTACATCCAAACAATCTTTTATATGCACATAACGATGGATGAGGTTAATTCATCTAGAAATATTCAAATCATGATAGACCAAATTGCTTCTACATGAATGTTGATTGTACAAACCACAAATATTGGATTTGTACATAACTTTGTACACTAAAACAAAAATGGTATTCTAAGACGTTTCCTGATAAATATACTTAACAGAAATTTAAGTTTATAGGACAAAAACCAGCGAGCTAACCGTTTGTTTAGGATGTAGAGCAACAGGATAAAAAATGTAAATCATTTTATTATCCTTTTTATGTCACATTTTAGAAGTTTCATTTATTAATACAATGATATATTTTTTGCTTATTTTCTTCGATAAAATTTTGTTGTGCTCCATAAACTTATTTTAATGTTTATTGATGTTATTAGACAATTCCTAGGGGATGTTTATTCGACATTCACGTTTGCCGGTAAGAGTCAAACACTTTTATTTTACTTACTCGGTGAGTTTTTAGTCCATTAAAACGACTTTCTATGCAATATTTTTATGTGGTAAGAGTCGTCACTCTCGTTTACCACGTAAGAGTCATCATTCTCACTTATACAAGGTAAGATTCTCAGTCTTTGTCAATGTCCATCCGATAAGGTAATGTAACTCGGCAAGCACTTACTCTTATACGCGTTTAGTAAACGACCCCTTAGTCTTATAAAGTTAAAATTCCATCAAATACTTATTATTACGTTTGGGTCCTAAAACACCAATTATGTTATAGCGTGAATGATCCATATTTTCCTTGTGGTCTGTTTTATAAACCTCTTTGTGCAAAACTTCGTTCATTCTACATCTATTTTTATACATTACTGTTTCTTAGCATGTTAAATTTTGGATTTTGAACAAGGTCCCTGAATTTTTGGGGCCACTTTTACATATGTTTGAAGGTTTCATCAACCTATGTTTAGGTTCAAGTTGTTAATTGTTCATATTGTTAAGATGTGGTTGAGGTTTAAGATTGTTATTTAGCTCTTTTTTGTATATTTTTGTTATTTTTCATTTTGCAATGTAATTAAAAAGCTTGAGTGTAGCAGGGGCTCCAAAAAGATTGCAATGTCCCTCTTTTTATGTATAAGTTATGATTCTTTTAAAGCTTATCAATTTGCAGAATGAGGGACAAGTTGACAACATAGATGCTCAGGTCGTCAAACGAGCTGTTTTGAAAGCTATCAAGAATTGGACTGACAACGACAACGAAGATTAAGGGTCTATTCCTATTATAAAAACCGCAAGAACTTGCAGTGATTCATTCAAAGTTTATTAGGATCAATATAACTTACATAATTCTACCTTTAATGGAGTAACACTTTGTGAAGCAAAACTTTCACTAAAGTTGGAAAAGTCAGAAGTTCCTCGAGAATACAAATCAAGTTACAAAGATAAACCTTGTCATCATGGAAGTTCACCTGCAATGACTTCAAACCATTCATGGTCACCTCCAGGATTAGTCTTTGCACGTAAGTTGCCCCGAAACCCACTATCACCCAAAAAACATTAACCGTGGATTAGCTCAACTTGCAATAAGGTTTGGGTATTTGGGGATCCTTCTCAAAGGTACTGGGATTTATCTCTCTATTTTCTAGGCATAGGATTAATCGAGGTGCGCACAATCCGTTCCAGACAACGATGGTCAAAAAAGTTACAAAGATTAAAAAACATCTTTCTTTTTTATTTGTATTATTGTTGGGTTCTTTTTTCTTCTAAAAGACAGATATTATTGTCATCATGTCTTGGTACCTATAATTATTTGATTCAACTTGACCCTTGGGGACGGGTAGCTAGACCATTCATGTTATGAATAAAAGATGTAAGCTAACGAACCATTAGCCTTAGTTAATCATATAGTTCAAACTAGATCAAACAAAGGGCTCCTTTACCCGTAAGCGTTCACTAGTAAGATTCAAAACTTTCATTTAACTTATCGAATAAGATTTTAGTACATTAAAACGGCATCATATACAATAATTTATCATGTAAGTGGCGCTTACCAGGTAAGAGTCATTGCTCTTGCTTACTTGGTAAGACACTCGGTTCTCGTCATCGCTCTTACTGGGTAAGTTTCTCAATCCTTGTCATTGTTCATCCAATAATTAAAGTAAAGTTAATTGGTAAACATTTATCAGGTAAGCGATTAGTAAACAACCCCTATATGACAATATACCTAAGATCATTCAAAGCAATGTTCAATATCAATATGTATTGTAATGAAAAAAAGTACCATCTCTTGGTGTAACACCCTCGAATTTGGAAAGAGCATCTAATTTAAAGATTTTATTAATACATCAAATAAGGATTTAATCCATTAATAAAGCAGTCTAAGTTTTAACATCAATAACATAGATTCCAACTTTTTACACAATTCTACATTAAGGGATGAGTGTTACTAAAACCCAATGACAGACGTTATCTCCAACATACAAAAGATTCTCCCGGATAGCTAGTTCCTTCTCGTGTCTCTAACTAGCACTCATCACATCATAATGTCGGTAGTATCATTTCCCCAAGCACCTGATGCACATGGCGACAAAGAAAAATGCTAGAGTTGATGCCTAGTGAGTTCAAATAGTTTTCATCAGTTATATAAAACGGTGAAATGGAAAGAATCACAATGTTCAAAATGAAATGTAAAATAATAAAAAGTGATATCTTTCTTAAAACCCACCATTTTCATGATGAAAACTCCAAAATCAAAACACCCATCAAACATGAAAGCAAAATCCAATGCTCAGATGAAACGCGAATACGGATTAACATCCAATTACCAAGGACATGTATAAAAACTCTACTATCTAAAACAATAACACATCAAGGACATCTATCATAACAAAGCCATAAAATATGATCACTTTCCAAACCCAAAACAACACAAAGATATGGATAATACACTATCCAAAGAAATTACACCTACCGGTGGCGGGGGAGACCCGTATCCGTAGAAAGTGGTGAGCACAAGGTAAGCCACACATCGAAGTTATCAAGTAGCACCTCCAAGGTAATACCTCAAGGCTCGGCTCACTTTATGATTAACCCCCCTATGGGTGACACTTCAACCGACGGAGATCTAAGTGCATGTCCCCACTTGTAACACCTCAAGACTCAATAATATTAGTGCATACTCTTTGGAGTAACACCTCAAGGATCATGTCTTTAGTGCCTACCCCACTAGTAGCACCTTAAGGCGCATTATTCTTAGTGCCTACCCTTTTGGGTAGCACCTCAAGTGTCAAGTCCTTAGTGTTTACTCAACTAGGCCAAAACCCTTATAATTAAGGTCCCAGGGTCCAACCCCAAATTACTGGTAGTCCTAGAGTCCAACCCGCTATATTTGACTATGTTAGGACTGAAATTCAGTGTAAAATTGTATTCGTCTTGAAAGTTAATTTTGTTTATAATTGTTTTAAAGTCATCGTGTTTGACTTTTCATAGATAGTTTGACTTTGACTATTTGTGTCATGTTTGACCCTATATAAAGGGTGAGTTCTTGTAATTTTTAGTAGGATTCTCATATTGTAAAATCTGAATACATAATAAAGGTTTGACCATATTTGGGTTGTTGACTTTCTCTCTCAACTCTCATAGTGTTCTTAAAGAGATATCAAGATCTGCCATTGTTGAATTGGAGCTTTCTTGAAAATTGATTAAAGTGGAATTATCAATTGGTATCAGAGCAGGTAAATGCAAAGATTTAGTTGAAAGAAATCAGATTGTGAAGAATTTTTCAAAGATAATTTTCTGGATTTTTTTTTGTTCTTCGTGTTCTTATATTTTTTTCTAAGTTTGATCCAAAATTTTTGGAAATTTTTGTGTTTTTCATGTTAAAACCGTGATCAATCTGTGCGAAATTTCAATGTGAATCTTTGTTATTCACAAATTTTTGTGGTTTTATCATTTCTTTTTCAAGATTTAATCGTTTTTGTGTTTTAAAATTTTTTTGTGTACTTGATTTTTTTTTTTTTAAAACTCTGTTTTTGATCCTTTTTAGTTTTAAATTTTTTGTTATTTTGTGTTTTCGGCCAGCCCAACCGGATTAGGCCCATCTGGTTTAGATTTTTTTTTTTGATTAACAGCCCATCTCTTCATCGCTTAATCCAGCCTGTTTCTTCTACAATTGTTTGACCAGATTAGCTTCCTCGTACAAAGCTTGATCGATTCAGAGATTACATCGCTTATAGATTGAGCGATTTATGGTCCAAACCGGTTACAGCTTGAACGATTTAAGGTCAACATCGTGCAAAGCTTAAACGATCAAGGTGTAAATTGCAGAAGTCTTAAGCGGACAAAGAGTAAATCGCTTGCTGCTTAAGCGATTAAGTATCTAGATTGAGCGATTTAGTGTTTAATTCGCAGATGAGTTGAGCGGACAAGGGACTCGCTGCTTGATCGATTTAGGGTTCACTGCTTAAGCGATTTAGCGATTTTGAGTGGACAAGGGATTTCAGCGTATGTGATTTAAAGGTTAAATCCCACATCACAGTTCAAGGCTTGATCAGATTTTGACCGTATTTGCTTAAATCAGAGACCATCACACAGGTAAATCGTACATTAAGCATCCGATTTAGGGGTTTATCGCACACTTCATAAGCGATTTAGGGGTTCATCGTATAAGTCTTGACCGATTTAGAGTGTAAATCGAAGACAGTTTAATCGATTTAGTGAGTTCATCGGTCATAGATTGTGCTCGAGATTAAATCGGAGATAACTTGAGCGATTTAAAGTGTTAATCGATCACAGTTTGATCGATTTAAGGAGAACTCATTCATCAATCTTACCCAGAAGCAGTCGTCCGGATTCAAGTCCATGCTCGGTTACTGGTTTGGCAGAATCTAAGTCTTAGTCGATCACAGGTTGCTATTTTATTGAGTTAGGAAGCTGGAGTTGATGTTCTTTCTCCGTAGCACCTCGTTCCACTATCTCTGGCTTATCATATGATGACATACCTGTAAATCGTCTGTGAATCGCCAGCAATATTGAATTTGAATCTGTTGGCTGTTGCCATCCGAAGATCTCAATTGTGTTGAGAATTCTTTTCTTGAACTTCTTCAAAATTAAAGTCAACAGAAGCATCAAAGTCAGCATTTATCATATGGTCAACAGGTTACCACTCTTTTGGATTAAGGACTGCATATTGTTCTTGTAGGTGCTTTGTGAAGGGAATGCAAACAGGTGGTTGTTGATCTTAATGTTGATCTTGATACAGCATTTGTTTCAATCGTAACTGTTTAATTTGATCTTGGTTACAGTTGACTGTTACCTGGTTCTAAGTAATTAACTGTTTGAGTTGATTGCTGTTAATATTTGTTGTTGATGATTGTTGTTTAATGATTGTTGTTGCTGTACTCTAGTTGTTCTTATCAGGTTTTGCTTCTGGTTGGGGATTTCACTGTTGATGTTTGTGTTCGATTTCATTGTAAATTGCTCATTGTAAATCGAACACAAGTACAAGTCAATTGAAGAGGATTTGACGACTTGCCTCATAGCTTTGAGTACAGATTGAGGATATCAGTGAAATTCTAGAGGAAGGATTGGAGACGTAGGATTATCTTGATAGAGTTTGTATAAATATTTTTAGACTTCTCTTGTTTGTAGCTTAATTCTGTTTTGATCTTTGTTTTAGTCTTGTATATTCTTGGGTTTAAATTTTTGTTTAATTTTTAATTTTTAATTTTTGGATCTCTTTTTATCTGTTTTGATTTGTATTGTGTTGAACTGTTTGAGAAATCTTTGAACTATTTTTCAGTCGCATAAACTATTTTTTATCAGTTTTAACTATTTTAGATTGTTTTTAACTGTTTTTAACAGTCTTGACCGGTTTTAGTGATTTTTGACAGTTTTTCGTCGTTTTTCTAATTTCACATCAGTTTTTATATTTTTCTGTTTGTGTGTTTGAGCTTAATTGTTTTTTATTTATTTTTACTGATTTCATAGCATTTGATCTTTAATCAATCTTGATTTTTGAAAATGGCAGTTTCATTTGAGAGAGCGAATGAGGAACTGAAAGATAAGATTTCTGAGTTGAATAAGAGCATACAGGATTATAAAGAAAAATATTTGAATGTGTTTTATGAAAATCATGCGAATGTGGAGTTTATTAAAGATTTGAAACGGGAGCATAAAGAACAATGTGAACGTATTGAAAATGATTTCATATACAAGATTGAAAAGTTAGAAAATACTCTCAGCTCTGTCAGAAAGGATTATGATGATGATCTGAAAATTTGGAGTAAAGCTAACAAAGATTTGTTTATTAAACTTCAAAAGGTAAGAAATGAATTACCGACTC